CACCCCTCAATTTACTGCATAACCCAAACCTGCACCCCCTTGGCCTTCTGGGCCTGAATTCAATATATGAATTCAGGCCCATGCTTTTAGTACCCCGCCATTTTACTACCTCAACATATTTCACACCCCCCTGCATTTTTTTTATATTTTATTATTTTTTATAATTTTATATTTTCTTATATTTTATTAATTATATTTTTTATAATATATTTTTAAATATTTTTAATATATTTAATATTATATTTATTATCATTATTATTATCTCATAAATTTTATTTTTCAACTCATTAAAATATTATTTTATTTATTGCATTAAATTTTATTTTTATTCATGCATTTAAATAGAATATTTTCAATAATTAATAAATAAAAGATATTCAATCAACCACAATTTATTTTCTTAAATCAAATTAATCCAATAAACGATTTTCAAAAAGGATTGTGAATACATTCGAATCAACTGCACGTTTAGTCTAACAATCTCCGTTATTCACGATACATAGACTAAACATGCAGAAAATGCGAATATCTTCACAATCCATAAAAAACACAAACCAACTGCAAACTACGAAATGAGACTTTGATTCCTCCTAAGAGGATACATAGGCATACGATTAAAATCGTGGCGAGTTCCCCTAAAAAATATTAAAACTCTTTTTCCCGAAAATTACGCTTCTAAACTAGTATCCTTGTGAACAAGATAGATGAGGGGTGCCTAACACTTATCCTTCGTCTAGAACCGATTCAACAACCTAGAATCTCTAACTTTTAGGATTATTCTTTTATATTCTCTTTCTTATGATAAAATTAAGGATGACGACTGTGTATTTAAAACCAATTGCAACAGCTAGTATCCGCCCTGCACCCGCATCTGCCCCGCACCCGCCAACTAAATTAATTAATTTAATTTATTTTTAATAGTTTTATTACTCATTTATACTTTTTAATATTATAATATCATGTTTATTATAATTATTATTTATTTTTTGTAAAAATATAATTTAAATAAAAATATCAAACATAATTTTTTTAAAAAATAATTAATCATCTAGTTTAATTATTAGTTTTTATTTTTATTAAAAAAATATAAATTTGAAAAAATTAATATTTTATTCGGGCGGATGTAGGACGGGTGCGGGGAAATCCGTTTCTTATTGGGGGCGGAGCGGGGGAACAAATATTAACCTCGACCGGGTTTGAGGGTGGGAGCGAATGTGGGTCTGGGTGGCGGGTGTGGGTCTGAGTGTGCTTAAATCCGTCCCCAACCCGTTGCCATCTCTATTCTTGAGCTTCTTCTTCTGAAGTTCTTTTTGGCTTCAAAGCTTCAATGAAGGTGTTCCCTTCAGAGGATTTGAATCCTTCGTGTCTCTGATGAAAGTGTCTCTACGAAGTCGTGATTTCCTTAATCATATTGGTCTCTGTAGAAGTGTTAAGCTTTGTGTTCTCAGTTGTTGCGTTCATCTTGTATAAGAGTGAGCTGGATGAAGATTGGTGTTTTTGTTTTGTTTTGGTTCTTGCTTTTATAGAGGATCTTGAGTGTATCATACTCCTTTTTTGGAACTTTAAACACCAATGACATTTTACTATGCCTTATTCTAGGTTTCCTAAATATTAATGTATACCTTAAATTGTTGTCGTTTCTAATACATGGCAACTGAAAGGATATTGTTTGATCTTCTCGAGAAATGTGAAGTTACCTCAGCCTATCTATTCATTTTCCTTGGATTTGAATAAAACAAGTTTTTTGATTTATTTTATTTAGAATTACTTAAATCACATACATTGTTTTACTACCCAGTCTCTATTCTATTCTTTTTTATCTTTTTGTTGATGATAAAAGAGGGAGAAGAAGGATAAGTATTTAAGCATCTAAACCCGATTGTTTTAAATCTGTCCATGCTTAATTCTGAATATCTGTATTATTGTGCTTCAGTGAAAAATTTAATTAACCCGACTAGGACTTAGGGAGAGCTTACGAACCTCACCCTTAGGACTTTCTGACTTAAGGGGAGCTTATAAACCTCACTCTTAGGACTATCAGACTAAGAGTGGACTTACAAACCTCAGACCCTGAAGTCAGATTGTTAATTAAATTAACAACCATTTTTCTTAAATACATGTGTTTGTCATCATCAAAAAGGGAGAGATTGTTGCAACAAAATTTGTGTATACTATATCCCTTAAGTTTTGATGATAATAAAGTATTTGAAGAACAATTAGGTAGACTAATGAGTGTTCAACTGTGCAGGTACAAAGATCAATATACTGATTGAAAATCAGTTCTTAAACTGCACTGAACATTAAAATAGCAATTTCTTAAAGGCAGGTTCTGAAGACCATATTCTGAAGGATCGGATTCTGAAGGTGATCATAATCCGATGTCTCCAGAATCTTAACAAGTTAACCTCTAATGAGTCAAAATCTTAAATTATCAGAAGTCAAGACTCAAATTCTGTAGGACTAAAATATGAACTCAATCAAAGCTCAAGAGCCGAAGATGTCTTGACACATCGTTGTCACATTGTGAGGTCAATTTATCCTATTATGGTCACGTGATATCTCAGCAGAAAGTTTCATAAGCTTGGTCGTTTGCAACTGATAATTCCTTTTGTAGAAAAGGAAATTCAAACGAGCTTACAACAACAATATTCATTTGAGGAAGCTTTTTAACGGATCTGTTGATGCTTATCTACAATGTCTCTCTTGTGCTTGAAGATCCCTCCAACAAATCTTTCATGGAACTCTATAAAAGGAGATGAAGATTTGGAAAAACACATAACACTGCGCCTTGACAAGAAAATAGAAGTTATTATGTCAAAACAAAGAACACAAGCTAGCTTAGAACTTCTTTATATTGTACATTCTTAGAAGTTCTTAAGTCTTAGAGTTTTCTACGTTGTAATCTGTTTACACCTCTGATTGCATATCAAGTGTAACTATCATTATATCTCTATCATTTATCTGTTTAGATAGATTGTGAAAGTCTCTTACCTGTATGTTTGAGCAGTGAAGTCTCTTGCCTACGTGCTTGAGCATTTGTGAAAGTCTCTTGCTTGTGTGCTTGAGCATTTGTGAAAGTCTCTTGTTTGCGTGCTTGAACATTTGTAAAATCTCTTACTTATATGCTTGAGCATCTATAAAGTCTCTTGCTTGTGTGATTGAGCAACCAAAACTCTTATGCTTGTGTGTTTGAGTATTGAAAGTCCCTTACTTGCGTGTTTGGACATTGCAAGTCTCTGATTGAGTAAATTATAATCAGATTCAGTTATAGTGAAAATCATTTGAAAGTGCAGGGGGACTGAACTACTCCTGATTTGTAGGAGGAACCATGATAAACTACTTGTGTGTTGTCTTGTTATATTCTTTACTTCTGTTTAAGTTATTTCGTTGTTATCCATCAAATTCTGCGTCAGATTCTAATCCATCAGATATGATAACAAAACTTCATAAAAAAAAATCTAACACAATTCAACCCCCTTCATGTATCAAAATTACCTGTTCTACATCAATATTTTCTTTATTCATCCACGTATCTCACCTACTTTGGGTGGTATTACGTGATGCTTTTCACCATTATTCCTCTCTATTTCATCGATATCATCTTTTTAATTGTATTTTGGTACCACTTTTTTTCTTTGTTGCTTTCTGTATTTTTTTGTGTGGTCTTTATCATCTTTTCCAATCTTTCTTATGCGGTTGAGGTCGGAGTGTCCAAGGGCCTCACAACGACGGCATGTTTCTGGTATTTTTTTCAAATTCTATTTCAATAAAAAAGGCATAACCTATTATTTCAACAAGGATTTTATCCTTAAGTTCTTCTAGTAGACCAATATCCACCAAAACCCTGACAAAGTGACCGAAGGTTCTATCAAGAGGAGATCCATTTGAGGTTAAATATATACATATATTGGAGTATCTAGGCTATCGGTAATGGTAAAAATAATTTTGAGTCTGAAATTTTCTTGGGAGAGCCCATGAACCCTGACCCATACTTGGGTAGATATTTGACTGCCATTGTTGAGAATGAAATCCCTAGTCTAAAGGAACAGTTTCAAAACATGAGGGTTTAAGCTCCACGAAGACATAAACCTAACCTTTCGAATATCTTCTATAGTAAAGAAGGTAGCCTCATAAAAACCATTACATAGAGAGGTGATGTCCCATTTAGCAATTGAACTCCATAGAGTTGATAACTTAGCTCGAAGTTGTGGGACAGTGATATAGAATGATCCAGTCGAATCTGGTGTGTGTGTGTTTTGGAATTCAATAGGTGGAGTTCTGGTAGTGGTGGCAAAAAGCAAGTACCATTACAGGACGAGGCAAGTGCAAAGGGCCTTCATGTTTTCGACGAGGGGTGGTGTCTCCATGCTGCATTAACAATTCCGCTTTCTTCTTATTTTAGATTACTCCATACATTACATTTATTAATGTAGGGCATGTTGGGACATTTTTCCAAAAGTGGGGCACCCAACTGAAATATCAGATAATTGAATATCTCTGATATAATACTGCCAATCCATTCATCACGTCAGTGTAGGTGGAACACACATACTTGTTTGTGGCACATGCTTGTTATTATCATCCTCATCATTATTGTAGAAAAGAAAAAAAAACAAGAAAAAAAAGCTTGACCTTTTGTTTTCACACACCATAATATGAAAACTAATTATTTCAGCCAGCAATTATCATGCCACTATTACAAGTTCAATTACCAAAAGCCCATGACATCTCATAATTATTTCATTAAAAAAATATTTAAAATATCATTTGGCACTAATGATAAGCACAAGAGACTGGTGAAACAAATTTGCAAGCAAATAAATATAAAAATGAAAATCGATTATTCCAAAAACTGATTCTTCTCAAAAAGCCATAGTACTAATAATTTACAAAAACTGAATAAATTACACTAGTACCACACAACACAACCACACCAATATTACAAGTAACAAATTAAACAAAACAAAACAAAACAGGTAACGGAAAATGACGTCATCACATCACATAACAGCACAGGCGGCGGGGTTCTCGTCGCTGAAAGCGGTGGTGTACCGAACCTCAGTCGAACTAGCACGCGCTAGATGAGATCCAGAATACTGATTATTATCGTAGTTGTTTCTGACATAACCAGCCGGTGCTTTCTTATCATACGTACCTTGCGCGTACGGGTGTTCAACGACGTCGTATGGAACATACGGCCATATCTCAGCTCTCTTCCCAGTGCGGTGAGCTATACGCGCCACCACTTTGTTTGGTTCAACATAACCAGTAACTGTTACTTTGTTTGCTTTCCTCTCTATATCAACTTGGTTTACGCCTTTCATCCCTTCCACCGACCTTCGAACTTTTCTCTCACATCCTTCACAGTCCATCTTCACTTTCACTTCCACCGTCTGTATCATCCTCATTATTAAAAATATTTCATTTTCATTTTATTTTTCTACACTAATAATTCTTTCTCCATATCAGAACAACTGAATCACTCGATTCGATTCAGTTGTTCTGTGACGGACGAAATAACAATAAGAAAATTAATTAAATGGATCTGATCTGATGTTATGTTACTTACCTGTAATTGTTTGCGTTTTTTGTGATGAGAACCGCCGCCGGAACAGTCAAAGAGTTCAGAAATGTGATCTAGAGCACCCATTTTTTCTGTCTGATTCAGATTTGGTTCCTAAAACTTAACAGTAAGTAGAGAATTATGAGACAATGACAAATTACTTTGGTTTGAGGAGTTTTATTTATATGCAACAACAACCACATGTATAAGTACTATTAAATTGAGTGCACGTTAAGTCATTAACAAGATAGATTTAGATTTATAACACTGTGTTTCTTTGTGTTGCTACTTCAAATCTTAGTAGTCGGTACTAATATTACACGCCTGTCATTTGTAAGTCCACGTGTTTATTCTCTAATGGACAGTGAGGGTTACAACGTCGATGCCTGTCGTGGATGCACCGCCCTAGGAGGAGCGTGTATTTTTTTTTAACGTTATTACAAAAACCAAATTAGCTCAACTTTTGAGTCCAACTTTTATCTTCCTTCAAAATACTTTATTTTTTTCTCTTCTCGTATTTTTCACTTGACTTTAATTTGCTCTTTCAATTATGTAAAAATTAATAATTGATTCCTCTATTATTTTTCTATTTAAATGTTAATAATTACGTTAGTTTTTTTTTTCTTATGTAACAAATAATATGTAATATTGATATTCATTGATTTAGCTAAAAGCGATCATATATATATATATATATATATATATATATATATATATATATATATATATATATATATATATATATATATTTTGGATTGAGTAAAACAGATTTGAGATGAATTGAGTCTTAGTCAATTAGATATTTGATCGATTTAGAATAATAACTCTTAAGATTTTATCAGGTACTGAAAGAGTAAGAGGAAGTCTTAAGTATCATTGATCGATCTTCATGTCGTAGTCTTATGTAGAATGAAATTTAATCACTCGGGATCAATTTTGAAAAATTAACGGGGAACATGTACATTTAATGGAGTCTCATTGATGAAACACTTCATCATTCATTTCTGACATGTGCGGTGACGTGGCCAGCTAGGATGTGAGACAACTTACAAAGTATTTAAGTACCCTCGAGTTGGCGTGTATCCATGAGAGAAAATCCAGTCGTTGATCTTGAGATCTCTGTTCATAGTTGGTCTTGATCCTTCAACTGATATTTCTTATAAATAAAGTGAGTTGAATATTTTAGAAGTTTCAACAACCTCTTAACTTTAAAGCTTACAATTACTTTTCAGAGGAAACATCTCTGTTCCTTTTTCTTAAGAATATCACTTGAAGTGATTTAGAGTTTTGCTGAAAGCTTTTGCCTTTATTATTCCTCATGTTTCATCAATCTCTTCTAACTAGATACCCTTATAACTCAAGCTTTTACTTTAGCATTTCATGCTTCCTTGGTTAGAATGAGTGATAACATTATCGATTTAGTGAGTGATTATGAACCAGAAGCTTCATATGAACCATCTCTAGATTCTCCCCACCCTTTTATGAGTAGTGATTATATGGGACTAGAAATTGTATTCATATATGATGATTCTAATTTAGAAAGGATATCTAGTAACTTCTTGGAGGAATATACTTCTTCTTCTGAATTGTTAGACGCCCTTATTTCAAATGTAGGCAAAAGAATAAATTACAACGAGGTCGCTATACCCCATCCTATCTTGTCATAAGAGGGGGTACGATCTAATTTGAAAATGAGGGACCTTACTAGAGATTTCATTTAGACTCGCCTATCGGCTGTAGGCTGTAAGCCTAGCAACGTTGATATCCTGGAACATTTGAATCTTTGACGTCAGTCGGGTGGTCAATGTATGATTGGATAAATGCAAAAGTAGCAGATATTTCCCTGGCTTTGAGCACTGAGGCCTCCCTTAGTAATGCTGACATTATGGTCAACAAACCTTCAGAATGGTTATCCCTACAGGTCCTAGAAGATAAAAGGATATGCATTCTTTTTGATGACTGCATAGTCCCATTTTATGACTGTTTGCTTATAATAATAGGGCTTCGGCTGCCCTTTTTTAAATTTGAGCTAGTCGTCCTGAAACATTTAAGAGTTTCTCATTCTAAGCTTCATTCAGGGTCATGGGCATACATAAGGGTCTTTTAATACTGTTCCGAGCATAAGTCTTGGAAGCCCTCTCTCAACTTATTATTCGATCCTTTCCATTCGAGGCGTACTTCCTCGATAAATTTCACAATAAAGGGCTCATTTATTTCCATCGAATCCACCAATGGTTTAACCCCTTCACTCTGGATTGAGGTGACTGTATAAGATATTTTTTATTGGGGAAGCCCCTCACTCTCGCGACTTAATTTATTTTAAGTTTCCTTCCCGCTGATTCTCTTCTCTCTTGCCAGCCTCTAACCTAAAATATCAGTCCAAGCTTCATATTAATTGGTCTATTTTCTCTTTCTGCATATAGTTAGGTTCTTTTTCTCCAAATGAGGTGACAATGAAGGAAGAAATGAAATCCAAGTTTCAAGGGCTTGGCAATGAATATGGGTTCGGTCCTAGTGAGGTTCTTTCTACCAACATGATGGAAAGACGAATTGATATTCATGCTATCTTGAGTGTAGTTAATCTTGAAGAAAGAAGGAAGATTTTTTATGAGAAGAGTAGTCATGCTCTTTTTACATAAGTGTGTCACGGTGGGAAAAATTGAGATTAAGCTATTGATTAACTTAACTTGGAAAAAAACAAGATTCGCCACCGAACTTTATTATTTCCAAAGGAAAAGGAAAATATCGAGAAAATGCAACGCAAAAAAAAGAAGAGAGATCTGGATACGGGGGTTGGTTATGCAAAGGGAAGGCATTAGTGTTAGAACAAGATTTGGTTATGTAATACCATCTCTGAGTTTTGATGATAACGATGAGTATGTTTGTATGAACAATTTTGATACTCTAATGTTTGTTATTTTTGAGTATTTAACAAACAGGTTATGCTTCTGATGGATGGCATGACTAAGACATTAGAAGAGAATTAGTTCCGCTTCCACGCTACACAAGTTCTGATGAACAATAGCAAGACACTTCAGAAGACTCTGAAGTGTAGGCTCTGATATGAAGAAACCAGTTAGAAGATCTGAAGATAGAAGTTTCTACTTAAGTCCATATGCTAAAGACTCGTGTTTCTGAAGACAACATGTTCTAAAGAAACCATTCAGAAGATCTGAAGACAAAAGTTTCTACTTAAGTCCAGATGTTGAAGACTAATTTTTCTGAAGATAAAGGATTCTCAAGACCAAGTGCTGAAGATTCTGATAGACGAAATTCTAAAGACTCTGAAGACTTGAAGTTCTAAAGACCCATGGTTCTAAGAAAAGGGTTCTAAAGACTAAGTGCTAAAGACTCTGAAGACAAAAGTTCTAAAGACTCTAAATACTTGAAGTTCTAAAGACCCAAGGTTCTAAGAAAAGGTTCTCACGACCAAGTGCTGAAGACTCTGAAGATGAAATTCTTAAGACTCTGAAGACTTGAAGTTATGATGACCTTGTGTTATGTTCTCGCTTCTAAACTCATGCTCACGGAAGCCTCTGAAGTGCAGAAGGAAAGAAGATAATGTTAACGTGGTACAAATAGTACATGGTACAATCAATGTTTCATTCCACTGCCATGAAAGGAAGGACGCGTTGCACGATCTTGTCCCCCACATGATTGCTCAAGCTGTCAATGTTTTTGGAAATCCCAAGAGTACCCTTCAATAGATATATTATTTTATTGGTTATATATATGCTTGAAGACTAAGGAGAAAGCAACAATTTTTCACTGAATATCCACGCACAAGCATTGTTCATAGCTTTCATAATTTTAGTCTATTGTTCTTAAGAATAGTTTACATATTCAGCTTGTGTAGAAGCAATATTATTGTAAGCAAAACTTGTATTCAAACAGTTGTTTGATTTCCTTAAGGGACCAGTTAGGTCTATATCCTTAAGAAGTCTAGGACTAGTGTGTCTTAGAGATTTGATTTTCCTTAAGGAACCAGTTAGGTCTGTATTCTTAATAAGTGTAGAACTTGTGTGTCTTAGAGGTTATTATTCACTTACAAATAGCTTGTGCATTGTAATAATTAGTTGAATTGTTGGATTAAGTCCTCGATTGAGAGAGTCGAAATCACCTTGGCAGGTAGACTAGACTAGCTTGATAGTTTTCAAGTGAACTAGTATAAACATTCAGTGGTCTTTACTTATTGTTCTTAATTATTGTTATTATCAAGAGTGAAGGAAAAATATTTTAATTAAAGGGGAAAATTTTTAAAAGAAATTTTTTGATTTAAAACCCAATTCAAACCCCCAATTTCTTGTGTTTTCTCACACCTTTAATTGGCATCAGAGCTTCGGTTCTGAGGAGATAAAAAGTTTGCATTTTTATCAACACTTAATAGTGTTAAGTACTGATCCATTGTGTGTGAAAAACCAATGGTTACACCTACTTCCATCGTTGATAATAGGGATAATGATAGAGATCATTATAGTTCAAAACCTCATATGTTTGATGGGGAGAAATTTAACTATTGGAAGGATAGAATCGAAAGTTACTTTCTGGCATATGACTTGGATTTATGGGATTTTGTAGTTGATGGCTACACTCACTCAGTAGATGATAATGGCCAGAAGATTGCAAGAAGTGCAATGATAAAAGAACAAAATAAAGTTTACAAGAATCTTTACAAAACAAAAACTGTTATGCTTAGTGCTATTTCATACAATGAATATGAGAAGATCACAGATAGAGAAACTTCAAAGTATATCTTTGATTCTCTTCAGATGATGCATGAAGGCAATGCACATGTAAAGGAAACAAAGGCTCGAACCTTAATTCAAAAATACAAAGCCTTCAAGATGGAAAACAACGAATTTGTGGAAACTATGTTTTCAAGATTTCAGACTCTTGTGGCAGGACTTAAGGTTTTGAATAAAGGTTACTCTACAACAGATCATGTTAAGAAGATTATCAAAAGTCTGCCTAAAAAAATGGAGATCAATGATAACTGCTTTGAAACTTTCAAAGGATATGAATAACACCTCTCTTGAGGAGATGATTAGCTCTTTAAGAAGTAATGAGATTGAGCTTGATCAAGATGA